TGACAAGACCCATGCCCTTGTATTGCGTGGATATGTTGCACATCATTCGTGCAGCTGCATCCACCGTGATACGGCGCTTGAAGCGCAGCTCATGCAGCCGGCATTCGCGTGCCAGCACCCGATCCCAGTAAACACAGTCGGCAGCGCCACCGGCAAGGGTGCCAAGCATATAACTATTGAGCTCCACGATCTTTTTCATGGTCTGTGAACCAATGTACTCGCCGGAAGTGGCTCGCGAATCGGCACAAAGCACAATGCCTCCCTGATACTTGAAACCTAACGTCGTGGTGCCATGATCACACTCCATACGCACCTTACAGTGCTCGAGAATTTTGGGCAGATTCTCAGCCGGCTGCAAGCGAGATTGTGAATGATTGTTCGGTTTGTAAATGCAATAATTTAGTTCGTACATTTTCAAAGGGTGGAGCCATTAATGCATAGGGATTGGTAAAGTTACTGGTTGCAATTTGAATCTGATGCAGATCCCACTCCTTTTGGAGCTCATCGAAGCGCTTCATAAATGGCAACTTGTTCACACCGGATATGGCTTCTAAGGCCATGATTTTTAATGCTTAATACTAATTTACAATAAATTTTAAGGATCAGGGTTCTAAATATGCTAAGAATTTCGAATATAAATTATTCAAGTGAAATCTGGATCTGTGCTGTCAGGCATAATGTGATAGATCTAAACTGTCTTCCTTGAATTTCTTCATGAATTTCAAGAACTTGCATTTATTAAACAATTACATATCTAACTTTTGCTTTGATCATATTATTTTTAATAGTTTGAAATTTGACTCGTAACTTTACTCTTTTTATTAGGTTATAAATTTAGTTGTCACATAAGTCACATCACTACTCGTTTTTTAAAACTTTGAGTGTCGGCCCCATTCGCTATGCTTTAGACAAATTTTCTGCATCTAGCAGCAGCATCTAATTTGCAGTCTTAGCCAAAATCTCGCACTTCAGTTGACGTTCTCTTGGCCATGCCCCAGACCCACTCCTATTAAAACAGGTTCAACTAAGCTCCAATTAATTGCCAAGTCGCAAGAAGGACCAGGCTGGGAGAGGGTAGAGGGGAGATGTTGCTGTGTCTGCTGCCCTCTAATAAACTGGCAGCGGAAATTTTTAACAAGTTGCCATTTGCCAGAGTTCCCGCCTAGCCTGAGCTGTAATTAACGCACACAGAAAACACAGGCCAGAGAAGATGAAGAAAAAGCATCCAACTGCAGCTGGATTCTTTGCTTTGCATTTCGCTTGTTGTTAGTCGCGACTTTAATGCAGCTTGCAGCTAAACTAGTTGAGATTTTGCATATCAGATGGCCGCTGCCAGCTTCCAGTTCGCCCTGTGATTTAATAATCAGCCAAACTGCCGACTACCAACAACTGGCAACTGCTGCTCCTGTTCCAGCCAAATGAATGGCTTGGCCCTGTTGCATGGCCATTAAGAGGGCAAACGAACTGCGAACTGGAGGCGCGTGCAAAATGAAATGTGGCCAGTGTCCAACACGCATGCCAAAGAGCAGACCGATACTCTGTGTACACTCAAAAAAAAAAAAAAAAGTTTGTTACTAACTCGATATGTTTATGTTTTCTATGGTAATATCCACTACTCATAATTTTCATTTTTTTAATATATTCAATTAGTTTATTTTTAAATTTATTTTTTTAGCCCAGGGCCAATTTTAATAAACAGTTTCTATCATTAAAGGTACGGAACGCCATTTAGAAAATATATTCTCATAAGAAAATATTGCTATGAAATATGGTTTTTCATATTTTTAATATATTCAATTGGTTTATTTTTAAATTTATTTTTTTAGCCCAGGGCCAATTTTAAGAAACAGTTTCTATCATTAAAGGTACGGAATGCCATTTACATATTTGAGAAATTATATTTCTAAAAACTAACGTAGTAGGGAAATAATTTTTCTGAGTGTACTGTGGGCATTGATTGCAGCTGGCAATTTGCATAAATTTAGATCAGTGACAATTGACGTCCGCAGGCAGAACTGGAATATTTTGTAGGCGTCTACCTCTCCATCTCTCTCTCTTTGTCTCTTTAGCACCTCTTTCTAAATGCCACCAAACATTTGCAATTGTCGTTTAATTAGAAACCCAACCTTTTGCTCTGCTTTTCGGTTAAATTAGGGGCCTCGCTCCCACTACGTCCCTCTCTGACTCCCTCTCGCTGTCTGCAGGTGTTGTTTCCACCGGCTTCTCAATTAAAACGTCATGTTTTTTCACGTTGACGGCAAAGTCTCTGCAATCTACTGGCTGCACTTGCTCCAGCTTTGGTGGGCGTTGTTGTCTGGTCATGGAAGCTGTATCTACTGCGTCATTCGGTTGATTGGCTGCTCATTAGATGCAAGCTTAATTAGAGCTAATCTGGTATATATGACCTACAGTCTAGCAGTTGCAATCACTAAAAAGAATTATGGTAAATACTTCAGCTTGGATCCATCAAATCTTCCACTCATAAGTAGCTTTGTCAAACAGACTTGCTTACAAAACACTTTTGATAATATTTCTAGACTCGGCTGACAACAACAACAAAACACAAATGCAACAATACCACGTAAGAGTAAATGTGTCCGCCTAGTGTATACCCCATAAACAGCTCCGAAATCCTACAACATAAATTCATATATTAACCCCTTAGTCTTTACCTTTTATTTTATGCCTTGTGCTGACTTTTATTTAATGTCATTATAGATCTGTGTAATCTACTCGAAACCTACCTATAATAATTTAAGTTTCCAGCTTCTAAAATGTGAAGGCGGCAGCAGGAAACCAATATCTATTAATTTAGATGAAAAGTGTGGAAGGTTTTGAGTTTGAAGCCCCTTAAATGTTGATGATATTACAAGCTGAGATTTAGTTTATAGAGTCGAAGATTTATTCCGCTGTCATTTGCACAAATTGTATTATACTCGTTAACACATTTTTACTTCGTTTACAGGGTATGATAATCCAAATGTAAAAGTGTGTGTTTGTAAATGTTATATTTATTTTAATTTTATTTTATTTAACTTTGCCTTTCACTTTATATTATTTACACTGCTGCTTAGCATTATTGTTGCAAAATCTGACAAATCCTTTGTTTTACTGCTTATTGGCAGTAAAAGTTTCCTTGAGCAACTTTTAAGCTTGCTTAAGGCACAGGACCGAGCGACAGCTGGTGGATGCGGATCCAAAGCATGTTTGGGACAGCTTTCATCATATACAGAAGTTGTGACTTGACGCTGTTGGTTTTCTGTCATCCCACCCCACCACACCTCCCCTCGCTCCACAGTCACTATCAAGGAGACAGCCGCATCCAATTTGCAGTTCATCATCTGTCCCGTGCCTGTCACAGAGGCTTCTCGCAGCGGCTGCTGCTGTACGTAAATTTTGACAGTGCGCCTAATTGAGCCGCAAACAGTTTTGACATTTGCGACCGCGCGCCGCATTTAATTTATTTTAATTGAAACGGTCAGGCAACGGGTTAGCTGGCCTAATCCTCTAGCTGGTCCAGCAGTCCAGAGAGTTCAAAGTTGAGGCTGCAACTGAAACTGAAACGGAAACTTTTGCCAAGTCGCTTATTAGGTCAACTTTGGCTGACAGCTCGTGATGCGGGCGCAAAAAGAGGGGGGATATACCAAGAGAGACAAAGAGAGAGAGAGAGAAACAAAGAGAGACAGAAGGAGAGAGAAAGAGAGAGAGGGTGGGACAGAGTCCAAATCAGTGTGTACCAAAAGGGAATCAAAGAACCAAAGCGAAACTATTTTTACAGCCGACTCACTAACAAAGTATCCAATTTTTACGACGATGCATTAAATTAAAAAGTTTTCGAATGCTTGCCTATGCCCCATTCCTGACATCAATAATGCCCTAACAATTGAGGAATATAGGCCTGTCATGGATTTTGTAAAACATATGTCTGAATAAAATATATCAACTTTTACATAATTGATTTTTTAATTTATTACTCTCAAAGAAAATATAAATTTTAATAAAATTTAAAAGAATGCAAAGCCGCGTGGTTGGAATATGGAATATTTTTTTATTTTTGACCCGAGCACCGCCGGTTAATTTCTTTTAGTATACTTATATGTATCTGTAATTCTTATTTAAATTCTGGAGCACAGCTTAAACTTATAGAGAACAAAAAGAATATTCAGACTCTTCAGCTGTTATATAGTGTAAATACCCGATTCTGCTCTTTCCGGCAACAACTTGGATGCTTTTAACGACTTTGCATTGGTTTTCATTGCCAAAAGGCCGCTCCAGCTTTTGCATTTGCCGCACACCATACCACATTGTCAGGCGGAGTTGAATTCTCGTTTTGATTTTACGGCTGACAACATATTCGCATTCCATTGCATTTCACATCGCACATCCTTAGGACTTTTGGCTAATTGTTGCGCTGTGCATTTTTACGGCACTTTGAAAGCCATTAATTCGCATTTTATGTACTTAATTAGTTTTCTGGCGCAATTTCGGAGCAATGTCTCGTAAATTTTGATGATCGATTTGCATCGATGCGCAAAGTTTGAAGTGCCCAGCCCCAAAAAATGTAGGTCTCAGAAGATAAGCCGCCCCAACTTACATTTTATAGCTCACACGTCGTACAATAGCTATTTCGGAAACGAATTGTATTTAATGGCAACCTTACATTATTAGCCATCATAAAACCGCAAAAGCTTTTTAAACTGAGCTAAGAGTTATTTTCCGGTATAAAATTTTTAACACTTGGTAGACTTTTTTGATTTAAAAGAACTTTTTTGAAATACTAAATGAAGTTAAATAAAATATTTATCTGACTTGATGGCTTGATGTTAAGGTATAAGCACCGAAAAAAAAACCAATGCAAATACATGCCTCTATCGTAGCTTTAACTTGTTGCGAATTGCAAGCGTCAAGCGACGAAAAAGTACAGTGTGTATACCTTAGTCAATTTTTTTAATGTTGAATTTAATTTCAAGCTTCTACAAAAAACTCAAGTTTTAGCGTCAAATTCGTTGTCATTATTTATGCTTTTATATACGACATTTCTGAAATAGGCTCAGAATGGAAAGTCCTAATTTTGTGTTAGCTTGAATGCATATGACAAGACGTGACGGGCCATCGGCAGCGCCTGTTAGCCAAACAGCAGAAGCTGCAGCAACAACAATTGAAAAGCGTTTTCATTGTTTGGTAAAACACGGTAAAGTGCCGCACAAGGCACGCGCGCGTCCAAAAACCAGCGGGCAATCTTTTGTTGTCCAAATGCGTGGCGGCAGCACAGGGCATACAACAAAAAGAGGTAATGACCAAAAGAGCTGCTAATGTGGCGGCTGCCTTCGCTTCCGTTGAAGGCCACCGATGCGGCATCCATTTCTCTGATGTTGTCAGTGACGTCTGCTCCAGCTCCAGCTCCACGTTTATCGCTGGCCTGGCATTTGCATTTGCATTCGCATTGCGATGCGGTGCTTTGTTTTCTCGTGCAGCTAATTTGCCCACAAAGCGTAGAATTTGTTCGACCATGTGCCTTTGTCCATGTTGGCATCGGGTTAGTAATTGTTGGACCCGGCTGCCGCTGCTGTTCCCATGCGAGCTCTAATCAACTTTTTATGCTGCACAGTGCACACATTGAACACATTGCACACATGCTCGTACATGGCGTCAATTACACAGCTTCAGTAGCCAGTGTTCAACGTTGCAATGGGATATAAAAATCAATGGAACGCACGATTGGCAGAAAATTAGTAGAGAACTAAAGATGGCCATCATCTGGTTACCTGTGAAGAAAATATTCTTTCATTATTTCTGGATTTTTCAATTTTTTTGCATTCCACGCATCACCCATAAAAAATGTATTGAAGTCCTATGACTGCCCTTTCTATTTTTCCGACGCATTCGAAGTCCTTTACTGAGTCTGAAATCTTAAAATTTAATCTTGATTACCTTTCGAAAAATACCGTACTTTTACCTTTCGTTTGGTACTGTGAACATTTGGTTATCAGATATAATGTAAACAATTTGTATAGGCTTATAGTTTTTTTCTATGTTTACTGATGCAATCAAAATTAACTTGTCAAACGTGAGCATATGAATTGAAACATTAAAAATTAATCACATATTCCCAGTCGGACTCACATAAAAACAACACCGATCCATAGTTCAGAAAAGAATTGATCGTTTTAATTTCCAACAGTTACAGGTATTTTGAAGTCACTGTCACTTAAAACCGCCCAACTCTGAAGCTAACCAATACTCGTTCTATTAGATGGCACTACTATCATCAAAGCGCAGCTAATAAAGCGCCAACAATGTGCAACTTGTTTTCTTTGTTATTGTCAATCAATAGAAAATGGCCAGAAAATTGCATTATCAAAGTCAATTGGTCGTGATATTATTCTACCAGCGACAGGTTGCTAATGGAAAGAAAATGGCAATGCTGAGAAATTTTATTTCTACTTTAATCAACACTAGACTGTTCAATTGCTGGATTTAATGCTAAATGAAACTGTTGAAGTGGAGAAACAAATGATAACGATATTTTATCGCTGGATAATTAAATAACATGTTTTTACGCTGCACTTGTTTCAATTTTAATGTTGCCTCACCTGAGACCTGCTGGGGCAAAGCACCTGCTCACACACACACTCATACACACACAAGTATGATGAAAAAAACATTTTAATTAATTGCATTGTGTGGCGCTGCACAGCGCAATTTACATGCCTAGGCCACACGTATACATAAATGTTTCAATGGCTTTAATTAACCAAAAATGTAGCAATTAATTGACTTTGGCGCTCAATTTAATTAATGTTATATATATTTTTGCACAAGGGCGTAAGGTAATACCGTTTAGCAGCAGCGGCGTCTAAATTAGGTATTTCGCTGTTAACTGATGTCAGCGTATTAATCAAATTGTGTGAAAATAACCAACATCGACCTTGTTTCGAAGTGTTTATTAATTGCTGTTATATGTGGATAATCAGTTTACTGGTTCAAATGTCAAGCCAAATGAACCAGCGCACATATGTTGTTAGGCAGCACTGTTTGTGAAGAAGAAGCATTGATAGAGTTTGTTTTGAAGGAGGATAACCCAATATAACTAAAATGTTGCATACAATTCTTTAATAGTTCAATTATCCATATGTATTTGAATTACGAACTCACTAGCTCCTCAGACACCAGAGTGAGTGCTGAAAGGTCACAGGGTATGCAAACTGCGCTTTGTGTAATGCTTGAAGAAGTGTCAGCCAAAGTGAGATCCTTGTTTGCACATTTTTAATTGTAGCGGCGACAGGTGCAAGAGCAAAGGCCCTGCTGCTCACTTGACCCACAAAGGCGGACGGGCGAGGACGAGGTTTGGGGCCGAGATTGCGACTGCGACACACAAAAAATAGCGAGCGATTTCTTGCAGCGGCTGCAAAAACAAACAAGCTGCCACCGCGGCATTGCAAAAAGGAAACAAACCAAGGACATTACGAGTTAATGTAAACAGCTTAATTAAAAAATAAAACTCCGTTGCGCGTCACGTGCTTAAAACCGCATGCATTTTGCTGCATAACCTCAAAGTGCAGCCAGGTGTGTGTGCCTGCCTGCATGTACGCGTGTGTGTTTGTGTGCGTGCGTGTGTCAAGCCAGGACGCCCACGTGACCGTCGCTCTTTATTTGCTTAAATGCACGAAAGTGTTTTAATTTAATTTTTCGTCCTTTTGCACCCCTCGGCAGCTTCACACTCTTTCACTTTGCCGCAGCTCCTAATTAAAAATGAAAGTAATTTTTCATCAAGCAAACGCTCCTGGAAGTATAAATTATTCTTAATCAGACGAGTGCTCATTAAAAATAATTCTTAAACGCTTTTTTTTTTGCATTTTAAAATATGAAATGCATAGTGATGCGTGTGTGTGTGGGTGTGTATATTTTTTTTTTTAGCTGAAGTGCAGTAAAAAAATTGTAAATTATTTGTTTCAACAATTACTCTTCAAAGTCCCGCTAAGTCCTCGGTCCCGTCATCAGCTGCTCTTAAGTGTTTATTTTTTCTTCTTTGTTCGTTCAAGTCAAACTTTTCTTTTAAATATTTACCATACTTACCCCATGTGCTGCAAAAGTTTTATGCACACGCATAATGCTGTTCGAGGAGGTAGCAGGAAGTGTGAGTTCCTTGAAGTATGCTTCATACATATGCAAGTGACTCACACTGTGTAGGTGGGGACAACATCAATGCGGCAAGCAGCAAGTAATTATAAAGTTTGATTGCTGCAACTTTGCTTTTAGACTGGCAAATATGGTCTTAAAACTTCGATAATTGTCAGACAATTGAATAGTTTTCAATAGAATTCTTTAGTTTTTTGTTATCAAAACTAATCTACAAAAAAAAAAAAGTTCTTTCAATTGGTCAAAGAGCGACTTGGCAAGCCAGCAAATAACTTGCATGCACATTTTATGCAGTAACACCTTGCGCCAAGTCAACTTCCTTTTGGCAAATTTGCCATGCATTGCATTTTCCTTAATTTGCATGGCAATTTTTTTAGCTACTAACATTCAAATTTGCTTGTATCAATTCAAATAAAGTTGAGTTGCATGCATTTCGTGCATTTTTGCCTTGTTTGCCTTTCAAGTCTTAAGAAATTAATTTTGCAATTTTCAACAAAAGCAAAAGCAAATTCCATTGTTTGCAATAAAGTGCATGTCGGCTTTGTAACTCCTACCTGCTACACACATATATATTCATGTTTTTGTATTATATACACATACAATATTATTTTGCTAGCTCTTTAATAAAACAAATGCCTTTTGGGATTAGTTGTGCTTAACTCTTGAATGTTTTTCAGCATCGGCTTCTGCTTTTTTGCTATTGGGATTTTCTTGCCAAACAAATAGCAATTGTAAAAGCATAATTATGGGATTAATTGAGTTTTAGAAAATGAACCCGAGAAATGCAATTAAATTTAATAATCGTGCTTAGAAAAGGAGAATTGGGGCTCAGTTTCAAGCTGAGCTCAAAATTCAGACGTCAAAAATTTTGGGCAAAATCAAAAAGCTCTTTGGCTAGCACACCTTGATGATGAGTAGCCCCAGCTTGTGGGGCACACACCCACAGAGACAAACACGTACACACTCCTGTGCCTGACAGCCTGGACACCTAGCACTTTGCGCTTCAATAGCGCTATGAAAGGCAACGAATGTCTATTTAATAGTGTCTGCCATTGTCGATGCGACAGCATCAACTGCAAACTGGGCATAACTGGGCCCAGTCCCAAGCTACAGGTCGTATCCTCCACCACCACAGTGGGAGTCGGAGCTGACAACGCTGTCTGCGGTGTGGCAACCACACCTGCAATTTGAGCTGCATGAGGACCGCAACGAGTGCGGGCGTTGGCAGCATTGCAGCTTGCAAAATGAAGTCATAAAGTCGGATGCCGCCCACTCATGCTCATTACCACGTACCAAGGAGTCGCATGGCAACGATAATGATGATGATGAGCATCATGCTGCTAACCATTGGACAGTAGGTCGGTCGCCTTCGCTTGGCAGTTGCCAGCGCTCATTTATTTTCCCGCAGCTGCTAAACTTTTTGACCATAGCTGACACTTTCATGAAACAATTTAAAAAGTCATTGTCATCAGCAGGCAGGCGCATGCTAGCAAGTAGCAAGCTGCAAGTGTCCTGTCAATGGCGTCGTTTGTTTTGTTGCCCATTACAGCGGTCAGTGTCCGAGTCCGAGTCGGCAGTCTGGTTGCAAAATGAAATTGTCATTGCTGAAAATGACCAACTGTCGCTGTTAACGCAGCTCGCTCGCAACTGCAGCAATCCGCACATCAAATTGTTTGCTTGGACTACGCATTGAAAGGCAAGCATACGCCTCGTAAGCCACGGGCATTGTATCATCAACCTACCACGGGATACTTCAACTTTGCAAACGCGTTCATGACACTTAAAAAAAAGGTGTTCCCCTTTTAAATAATAAACTAAACTTTATACCGATAAATATTTATACCGATATTATGCTAGTTGGCCCAAAGTCAACAACAACATGGCATAAACGCCAACAAATTATCAGGTTGCAGCTATCTCAAGATACTTCCGGTTCAATCATCAGCAGATTTTACTATCAACTCAAGCGGCTTATCCCCCTTTCGAAGCCTTAATTTGCTAAGAATTGCAATCTCGAGCCTTACATTTGATATTGTGGAGTAAAAATATATAACTTGAGCTTTGATTAATATTTAATATACTTTTTTTAAATATTGTTTATATCTGTCTTTATATTCTCTTTAATTGTAAACTAAAAACTTGTTTTTCATAAATAAGTTGGTTGGATTCTTTGAAGCATTCTCGAAACTCATCGTCTCTTACGCGCTTTTAGAAAGTTTCCGGCTAGAAGTTAAACTTGAGCACTAAAATTGTTCAGATATTCAAAATGTTTAAGCTTTGGCCAAACTCAAATTTGCCATAGGATATAGAAAGTTCGTCAAACCGATAGATATCTTTTCAGTTATGTCAAGTTTTGTTTTTCACAACGAAACTTTCAAGCTGGTGCGAGTCCTTCATTGTTGTTGTTGTGCTGTTGTGGGCGTCCTGGGTAGCGTGTGACATTGCAATTTCGAAAACAATTTCAAGTTTTTCGACACGCCCAACTTGTTGTCGCCGCGTCGTCCTTCTTTTGTGGCCAAGTGCTTTTCAGTTTAAAAACTTGACAGCAAATGATGTATGATATGAGAGCGTGTAGATTGCAGTTTAGCTTAGATGTCTTGGAGAGTTGCTTTTGCGCGAAAGAAAAACCACAAAAAAAAACGATTTAGAACATTTTTGACTACGCACAATATATTCTTAAGGGCTATTTTGATGCAACGCTAACCTGCGTTTAACTTTACCCTCAGGATAATTTAGATGGTTATCATCCACTAGCACAGACACCCAGTTTATAGCCTTTCAATGTTATTTGAGTGTTCATTAAAGTTGTTACGCTGCTTAAATTCATTATTACTTGGGTGTAGGGGACATCTACTGCTTTCCAACTGCCTGCTGGCGTAAATTACTCTGTGCAAAGCCACAAAATTTATTAAGCGTAAAATTAAAAGCATAAAATTGCATGCTTTAAATTCAAATGCAGCGGAGCAAAAGCAGCAGCACCAGCAAAAACGACAGCAACCGCAGCCACAAAGTGTCGAAAGGAAGCATATCGCACAAAGTTCAAACAAAGCAGCTCGTGGTATCAAGAAGTGGTCGAACTTGCACACTCTTCCATCGCGTCCCGCAATCCCCCACGCATACTAAATTCAACTTATCGACAGGCTGGCAGTGAAAAGGTTCCGATAAGCGCCACAGCATGAAGTTGAATGGGCTGTGGCACCATCCCATTTTTATTTTACTATTTCCTTGTAGCAGCTGAAATAACTTGCACCAGGTGATATGTAAGATACGGCAAGATATATTGCCGCCTGATAGTCAAGAAAACAAATTGCCTTTGGGCCGAGATGAGTTTTTATAGTGAAATCTCAGCTATTTATATAATTGTCAAAAATTTATTACTCATAAAATGCAAATCTGCAGTTCTGAGTGGCTGAGTTGCCTAGTTGAACCGTTGAGGCAACTGAGGAACGAGAATCAGGGTTCGAATCCCAGGCTGGTGCGCTGGTCACCAGCTTACTTTATAAGTAAAGTAACTTTGATAATTTATAACTAATTCCTATACTTATAATAACTCGGAATTCCTATTTATTTTGTTACTATGAACAAATCCCAATCGACCAAACAGCAACTGAACCAAAATCGGAACTAAATAAAATTTTGATCAAAATAAAAATATTTTGAGGTAAATTCAGCGTCAAAGCGATTATCTAACTCATATTGGGTAAATGCCAATTTTGGATAGAGATCAAATTTAGCCCTTATATTTCTTATGAAAATATAGGCAATAGAAAAGAAAACTGCATAATTTTTTTTGGTTTTGCGGTCCTGCTTTAAAAATATAAAAATATTGTTGAGGTTTAACATTTGATCGATTAACCTACAACATTTGAAACAAAACCACATAAATTTAGTCCGATGTTTCTAAAATAAGCGTGCTTTCACCAGTTGGTTCTTAGCGTCAATAGAAGCCTAGAAACCATTGAGCTGTCCATGGCCATCACTCAAGTTCATATAAAATCTCTCTGTCGCCCTGCCCCTCCCTCCTGGTGCATTTAACATTAGAAATTCATGAGCTTCGTCGCCGGCTCATCAACAGGACAACATAGTTCGCCAGAGGTGGATGCCTGGGCTAAGTGAAGCAACACATCTTGCACTTTAGTTTCTTTCTTTTACTTCTCCCTCTTACACGACTTTGCTGTTTATTCGACTGGCGCCACCTGGCGTTTTGAGCATGGCTTAATGCTCATTATCGTGCAGATTATAAACGTCTTCCAGCTTCTAGGCAAATAATAATTTACACACTGGAGGGGCTCTAAGGTGAACTATGAAGAAATATATACTAGTATATGTATATTTTTTGTTACCACACGTCGTGTTTAAATTTATGTCTGAGTTGCGTTTTGAGGTAGTGGATCAACGGCTTTAAAGTCGTCACTGACGCCACTGCCAACATGGAAGTCAGGATGAAAATTGAGCAGATCCAAGTGCACTACTTTATATGTGGATATCAGCCAGTGGCCGGCACGCACAGTGGGTGGTAACGAATAATCTCTTCGGAAGCGCACAAATACCTCGGCAAATATAATGGGATTTGGGACAAATAATTTACTGGCGTCTGCATGCTGCTCAACCAGTTTATTGATCTGATCCATTTCCACTCTGGATGTAAAGTCATTGGTGCGTCGGCACGCCAAGAATATCATGTCTATAAAGGCAAACTTATGATCATAGTGCTCCAATCGCTGTACCTTTAAGGGGATAGCGCGTCGAATATGACGTTTCTCAAAACGCATCAGCTCGTGTGGTAAGTTTCCGGACTGATCTTTCTTTATCCTGAGGAGATCATGGCTGATTTGCTTGTATCCCATTGGCGTGGAGCAACGTTTGATATAGGAATTGCGCTTCTCGACTATGAACCTGGTTACGAGCACTAGCGCCTGTTTGGCATTGTCAACAAAGAATGCTTCGTTAAAATCCCAATCCCATAGTATTTTCAGCTTCCATAGATTAAACTTGGTGCCCATCATTTTCCAGGGACTGTATAGATATACCATCAGAGGCAACGACATTTGTCGATCTCTTACCGCATCCCTAGAACGCTCTACATCCAAATGAAAATTCCATTTGCCCTTATATCGGTCTTTGTTCCTAGACGAGCCGGGTATCTTACGCCGCCCTTGGCCAGGATTTATTCCGAGTATGCCCAGTTTCGACAGCGAATTGGCCCTTCTAGCCAATATCCCATGCAGCTGAAGGGTTTTGTGAGCCAGAGTCAGTCGGGCACAGCCAAATTTCAGTGGCGGCTTAACGGACATGTTTCCATAATTTAATTTTTAGTCCAAATTTTGAAATACTAATATGTCCGAAATGTTACGGTCAAATCTATTATTCTGACTGAGAAATCTTTTCTTAAAACCATTGACATATTCGAATAATATTTGTACACTACACTCATTTTTTTTCCTGTGCTTTAATAAGACTTAAGCAATAGATGCATTGTACATTTATATATCTGCATTTGTTATTATACTTATTATTGGATAACTAACAAATATTCCAACTTAATCACTGCAAATGCATAATCACGTTTTCAAGCCTTTTCGTATTGTGTGCTTTCTCGAATTGGCTTTTGGTAGAGTACACGCAAGCATTCATACGATTTAACAACAATGAGCTCTAATTGTGGCAACATGAATATAATCGATTCACCTGCTCTGTGGCCCGGCTGATTGATGCTGCCTCGTGGGAGATCCCGAAGGACTTTTGTGAGCATTGATTCGTATGCAGCCTGGCAACGTGCAATTATCGAATGCATTAGCAAATGGAAAACATTTGTTACGCCCATTGGCCCACCGCCCCATTTAAGTTGCGCCTGTTTTCATAGTTGCATTTCATGTGCTACATAAACACAGCCCCTCCTCCTTCACAGCTCCTTCTGTTTGCATGGTGTGTGGGTGTGTGTGTGCGTGTGTGCTCACTTGAGCTCTGCTAACTGAATACAAACAATGCCAAACGAGAGACAGACAGACACGCCCACTTGCCACCGCCCGAAGACATGTTTACAAACTTATTTCATTTGGGTTAATTGCTTCGCAATTGCCCTCAAATTTGCATTCGACCTAAGTAATTTTGTCCTAATGTCGATTTCAATTATTGCACAACTTTGTATGGAATGTCCTCAGAAGATATACGATTATATAAACAGAAGGATGCACAAGAATTGTACATGTGTCTTTGGATGATGTAGTTCCCAGCTAAATTAATAAAGCGGAATTACGGATACACAATAGAAGTCAAATTGCTTTGGGGAAGCATAAAACATTTGTCAATATGCGCACCATGTTTTCCTGTCGCTGCACTGAAAATTTCAAGAAAACGTAATTTTAAATGTCGCCATCGTATGCGATCCTCATGAATTCAAGTAGGGCCTACAGATATTCATGCCTTTTATATTAACATATTAAACATATATTTATATTCGTGGATGAGTTATTATATTCATATATTCACTATTTCGTACTATACTTAAGAAAATTGAACCGGAATTGTTGATTTTCTTCAGTGTAGTTTTATGTTGATAGCGATTTACTGGCCATAAATGTTTACTGTCATGTTTAAATCTAATACAATTTATCACATAAATTGCGAACAATAAAACTATGCCCAAATATACTTAAAGAAACATACACATACATAAATGCATAAGGAGAAGGGATCCAATGCAGCTCATGCTCCAGAAAATGAAAATATGTATTTTGCTGAAATCACAGCGCCATATAAATCCCCATGTAATCTCCCTCAGAGAGAGACAGCCATCATAGAGCAGCCAAAAGTATCGCCATAAAATATGTTAAGTAAATACGGAAAAGCAGATGGGGACAAAGAGGACGAAGGAGACAGACGGACAGACAGGCAGGCAGTTAGAGATAGAGTAAACAATAAGCCAAAAAGTACGCTTGATTAAGTTTAACTTCCGGTTTGTTATAAATTGAGCATTTATGTGGGATTTGTTTGCGAAAACAGTTTCTACTTTGTTGGGCAAAATAAATGTTTGCCAGTAGGCGCCGGCGCTGGCCCATCGAGCAGCTGCCAAAACTGGGGCATATGTTTCTAACCGGCTCCCTACTATGCTCTGCGAGCACACGCTTGCATGTCTATTTCCGGCGGAAGTGGTGAATAAAACATGAAACAAAATAAAATCAGAAGGCAACAACAGAGCCTGCCAGCTGCCGACTTGCTAAAATGGACGAGTTGGAGTATTTGGAAGACGAAAAATTATTCAGTGGCCAAAATGAACTTCCGTTTGCCTTGTTGGCCGTTAGATTAGTTGCTCTGCAGCATCAAATATCTAAATTAATCCAAGAGTTCAATAGAAGTAGACAACAAATTAAATTGCAAAATATCTTTTGCCTGCATATTTGTAATACATACATTTTTTGCATCCTCCCGGGGCCGCTCTGACAGCTGCCATCTGGGAATGGCCCTGATGCAAGGCATTTAATATCCGTAAATGAAATATTCAATTTCCCTATGACAAAACTAGGAAATAGGCAACAGACAACAGGCGTACCTGGTGCCTGCCACAAGATATGAAAACTAGATACGGTTAACAGCATTTTAGGACCGCAAACAGAAACTTCCATTGGTTATCTATTGACAACAGCCACTTAACAACAGCCTACCTTTAAGTATAGTCAAGAAATAGCCCACTTACCCAAGCCACAAATGCTTTTGCGGAGATTGCAACTATGGATATTGGTTTTGTTCTTAATGACGAAATATAATGAAAAAAATAAAACATTTCTAAGCAAAGATTCAGAAACACTATAAGACTAGTCTGTAAATCTCATGCTCGTCGTCCTAATCAAGAACATATACGTATAATTCATGATTTGCATATATGTATCTCCATTAAGCGACAGAAGGCAATTATTTCTGCTGCCTCTCGGCGTGCTCCCACACAAACTATTTCAATTCGAATGCAACGTTTCATGGGAGAAATAATAATCTTGGCGTAAGCAAATAGAAAGCTCACTTGGCACAACATTGCAAAATCCATGTAATCTTTATTGCCTGGCCAAAAGCTGTTGGGCACACTTAACAAACAGACGAGCAAAGCACTTGGATTTGGTCGAAACCGAGCACTGTTTATGCAGCCGGTTAAACTTTGGGGGGCCCAACATTACTTTCAAATGCTGCTGGAAATGCATTTAATTTGTAAAGTGCATCGAAGTTTATGGCTTTGCTAATCGCTAGTGAATATTAACTATCTGGTTGCCCGCAAAATTATCTCAAATAGATTTCCTTTGCTAGCATTTCAACAATTAATCCTGAATAGAGTAAGGCTCTCAGCCACACAATTGGCAATTGTTGTTGGGCATTATATTTATTATTTTGTGTGTGCTTATGCTATTCAAATACGGACTAAAGTTAATACTTGGAATTCAGAGAAGTCTTCAATGATTTCGAGAATGGCAGCAGTGCGATGAGGCACCACAGTTGCGAGAACAGCAGGCTCCATTGCATTTCGGTCTCACTGGATAGGTCATGCAGTTATTGCAAGCACGCATACAGCAAATTGGATAGTAACAGGGGCAACGGTAGCCACAGGAGTTCGAGCACGGCGATCCCCTACAGCAGTTGTTACATTTATTGGAGATTGGTTTTTGTGGTTTTTCTTCTGGTTCCTCTTCTGGTTCCTCTTCAGGTTCTTCTTCTGTTTCCTCTTCTGGCTTTGCTTCCGGCTTCTTTTTTGGGATAGGTTCGATGACTTCAGTATCAGATTCAGATTCAACGTTATACACCGATTGTATTATATTCCCCGCCTCATCGTTGATCACCTCCTTCGTCTCTGTATAAACACGCGTTTTGATTACTGATTGGGCAGGATCAGCTGTGCCGTTCTTGTTGTCATTATTTTCCTCTAATTGATTTGATTGTTGAGTTTCAATCAAGGGTTGTTCCTGTTTTGTCGTATCTTTAGAGTTTCTTTGGCTGTTACTTTTTGAAGTTTTCTGTTGGTCTAATACATTAATTAAGTCATTGGGAATATCGTCACTTTTACGAGGTGAATTTAATGAAACTCTCTTGATTTCTTTGTCCATTTTTGAATTCTCATCGGAAACAACCTGGGATTCGATTTTCAGCAGTGATTTACTTACTTTATTTTTTGCTTTCTCGATTACGGAAATGTTGCTAGACTCGGTATTTTCAGCTGTATTACCTGCAGTCCCCTTTTTAGATAGAGGATCTTTTGGACTGTCACTTTGAGGTTGACTTAGCTCGGCTTTTGTTTGTGAATTTTTTGAAGCTCTCCTGCTCTCCGTACCGACTCTTGCATTCTCATCGGAAACATCATTGGACTGTTGTGAATTTTTTGAAGCTCTCTTGCTCTCCGTACCGTCTCTTGCATTCTCATCGGAAGCAACATGGGACTCGACTTTTGAAGGGGATCTTTCTGACGACCGCCTTTTTGTTCCCACGGTTAACGAATTGTAACTTGATTCGATATTCGCAGCTGTCCCCCTCTTAGATTGTGCATTTAGTGGATCGTTATTGGAAGTCCGACGGGACGCCATAGGTGCAGGCGCATTTTCTGACGACCTCCCTTCGATACTCGCAGCTGTCCCCCTCCTAGATTGTTCACTTAGTGGACCGTTATTGGAAGTCCGATGGGACGCCATAGGTGCAGGTGCATTTTCTGACGACCTCTCTTCGATACTCGCAGCTGTCCCCCTCCTAGATTGCTTACTTATTGGACTGTTATTGGAAGTCCGACGGGACGCCATAGGTGCAGGTGGATTTTCTGACGACCTCTCTTCGATACTCGCAGCTGTCCCCCTCCTAGATTGTTCACTTAGTGGACCGTTATTGGAAGTCCTACGGGACGCCATAGGTGCAGGCGCATTTTCTGACGACCTCTCTTCGATACTCGCAACTGTCCCCCTCTTAGATTGTTCAGTTAGTGGATCGTTATTGGAACTCCGACGGGACGCCATAGGTGCAGGTGAATTTTCTGACGACCTCTTCTTTGACCGATTGGTAGCTGAATTGTCACTGCCTTCTAGAGGGGAATTTCCTGAAGTTCTTCTTTCTTTTCGATAGGTAGTCAAATGATCATTGTTATTAATTAATTGATCGATGGTTAAGTTTTCACTGGAATTGATTTGCGCAGAGTCTTTTGCCGAATTTCTCCTCGCTGGGCCGATAGTTGAACGATCAGTGGAAGCTATACTGGCCCTGACATTTGTGGATATTCTTCGTTGAGCCCTTTTTTGTTGATCACTTGTCAAACGTGCATACGATGGCGGTATCAATGGAGTGATTGTTTCGAGTACTTCTACTTGACTGGACTGTATACTCTTACGTTTACTTGGAGGCCTTCGACAACATTTATACTC